GTGCTATTGATGGAGGGGCGGCTAGAGGAGGGAGGATCAGGGGGAGGGACGAGGGGAGGAGGAGAGGCAGCTAGAGGAGGGAGGAGTGGGGCGAAGGTGGGAGGAGGGTCAGCTAGAGGAGGGAGGAGGGAGGAGGAAGAGGAGGAGGAGGAGGCTTACCGAAGGCGGCGGCAATGGACGACGGGGGCGATGGCAGGAGGAGGAGGACGGCCGCGACAATGAGACAGAGGAGAGTGAGGAACAGGCGGGTGCGCAGGAGGATAAGACTAGATTAGCAGTAGCGGGGTTTAGAAGAAAGCGCTACTGCTAAACTACCAAGCAGTAGCGTGTTTCATGGGAGAGTGCTACTACTACACTTAGCCTGGCGGCAACGTTGGGGTAATTTCAGTAGTAGCGCTCTTCTACCTGGCCGCGCTACTGCTATGTACATAGCAGTAGCGCCTTCTGTTTCACCGCCCCTTTTTAACCAGCGTACTGCAAAAGTTCTGTGTATAATGTTTTCCCTAGTAGTGTATTGATATTGATGCGAGGAGTATGAAGCGTGAAGACTTTTGTTTCCGTAGTTTCATTTTCCTTTCTCGAGCCATAGAAAACATCGTACTGTTAAAGGGGGTCGAGGTAAAACTAAGGAAAAGTTTCCAAGTGATGCTCATCTCAAAGCCTATACACATACCCAATTTCATTTCCTCACTTACTTGTTGTTGTACTTGATCATTACTGTTTGAAGACTTTGACTGAAGACTATCTCAATTTCCTCAACCCAAATTCTTCAGTCATCTTGTCTTCCGCCTGCTTATCCCGTTTTCACGCTACCTGTACTCTGTGTATGATTCATTTTATCATGATGACTATGTTACTGTCTTGTTATGCATGCACCTGAGTATTTTATCCCCTGCTTCTATTTCATCACTTAGCAAATTCCTCAAGAAGTATTTTCTCGGTGACGAATTTGTAAAAATCGCCTATTCACCCGCCTCTAGTCGATATAACGCACTTCCAGTTTGTAATGGTATTGCCATCACAACTATGTGCACTGATTAAATTCTACTGTGCAGAGGTCTGAAACAATGAAAATACAAGAAACACATCAACTTCAGTTCGTCAGTTAATCTCACTCAATTCTGTATTTTTGAAGAAAGCAAATAATTCATGGAAAGAAGCACATGCCTGATAATTCAGCTGACTGCGTCGAATTATGAGTGAATACCATCTTATACATCATTACATCACGCCAAATAATAAAACGAGTCACTTACACTCCTGATACTTGGCTTCCTCTTCATCAAGTCACGAAATTCGACCCTTAGTTAGCAGCACCAAAACTAGAGCAGGCCCAAGACAAGCAAGAACAGTCATGTCACAAATCAAACAAGTAAAAGCTTCTTTACAAAAAGGATCAACTCAATCTATTTCTCCACCGAGCTAGCAGCCTGCCACATCCTAGACGCCTTCGGTACTACTCCCTTCGTCCGGAAATACTTGTCGGAAAAATTGATGTATCTAAACGTATTTTAATTCTAGATACATCAATTTCTATCCATTTATGTGACAAGCGTTTCTGGACTGAGGGAGTGCTACTCTGGGACCCCCTCTCCACCCTTGCACCATCCACAGGTCCAGCCCCAGCAGCAGCGACTCCTCCTCGCCCCACCACTACCCGTCCTGGCATTGCTGACATTGACGAACAAGAGTTTGGAGCTCGGGCGACCGCTGCGAGGACAGGTTCTTGCCCGCCTACAGGGTCAGCTTCTCGTAGTCCAGACACCGGCACATTGTGCCTTGCTCCCTGGACGACGTTGGTATGGGGTGTGCATGCAATGCACAAGGTCACACCATTAAAATGGAGCTGCTGCTAATTTTCAGTTTTCACATTTTGACATCAATGCACCGTAATTTTATGTTTCGTAAATTTTCTCTTATTTCATACTCCCTCCATTCCTAGATATAGGGTGTATAGTTTTTGGCACGGAAATTAAAGAACGCACATGGAGAAAAAATTTCATAAGTTTTGGGTGAGATTGCACCTGACTAATTGACATGAGTAAATAGAGGAGCTTGCCTCATATAAGCCAGCGTGGGCTATGCCTTTATGCATGCATGCATGAATTCATAAGAAAGAAAAGGACATGGTGCATTGTCTTTCATATATGCATGCATCACATGCATTGCGTTGCATGCTTGCCATGATGGAGTCTCTATCAACTTGCGCCCCAGCTTCCGGTGACAAGCGACGATGATGACGAAACAACACTGATGCAATCCAGAAGTGCTTTTACACTGAGATACACAACAGTGCAAAGCTAGCCTACCGTTTGCCGATCAATCCTCCTGGAACTAACGTCACTAGCAAAAACTAGCTAACTTCGTATAGATCATACACACACGTACACAACAACTATGGCCTGAATGATTCTCGCCACCGGCCGTAGACTGGAACAGAACACTGGATTGGGTTGATGGTTACTTGCACGTATTGTACCAGTTGTTATACTTATTTGATCTCAATGATACAATGTTTACAAGGGGTGTACAATCATATACTATATAAAATCTCTCTACCCCACATCTGCCCTAGATAGTTTTCTTGTACCCCTTAAATTTCAAGTCTATAAAAACAAAAGGGTCAATCAAATCCTCCTCACTGTCGCCATCACATAGTATGGGCCTCGCTGAAATGGGATTGTATGCGATGAGTACTTGGAGATTGCCTCGGCCACGACTTCATGGTCAGGGACGATGAAGGTCAACCTTGCTTCCATAGACCACAATGAGGACGAGGAGAACGCAATGCCCGAGAATTCCTAGGAGGGGACCTTGTAGTGCGGTTCCAGTGTCTTCCACGATGAGGAGATGACCCAACGAAGGAGAATGCCTCGGCACCTAGAATTCTAATGTTCCAGTGCCTTACATGATGAGGACACGACATTGCTTCAATTGCACATGAGGAGGACGAGGAAAATTCGTCTGCTGAGAATTCTTGGGCAGGGATATTCAGGTATGGATCCAACACGTTACATGAGGAGGAGACAACAAACTCAACAACCATAGCAGGAGCCGACAGAGTTTTAATAGATAAAGGACTCACATGGAGTGGATCTCATTTAATCTAAATCAACTCTTTTTTCTTGTAACTTCACTTTTGAAGGGCGTGCTGTAAATTTTGAAGCTCATAGTTTAGCTAAGTTTTCTACTACTCTAGTTCAGGGGCGTCAAGTATGGCTTTTGGCCAGCCGCATGACCCAATTTGTATCCCACCTTCGGTGGATTTTTGATCAATAAAGTGGCTTTTCCCCTCAAAAGAAAAATATGACAAAACATTCATATAGGTATAGTGACCTTGTATGAGAAAGCTAACCAAAGTTGTTATATGTATGTAGGAGAAAAACACTTTGTATTGTATCCGAACGGAAACTCATTCATTTTTTGGTCGACGGTCGATGGCCCAGTCGGGGCGAGAAGAGAATACAACCATCAATCAAAACTACTCGTGTTTTGTTGCTTCAGGGTCGTCGTTGCGGTGGTGACTCAACTGCTCCTGCTCCTGCTCCGTCTCCGACGGCGGCGGAGACAGCCGCAGCGAGGAGATGGGCAGAAGGTGGGGCAGCGGCAACGGTGCGGCAGAGGACGACGAGGCTTGAGAAGGTGAGCTCGTCGTCGTCGTCTCGCCGTGGCAGCCGGCTCCGTCGATGTCATCCTCACCGAGCGCGATCTCGAGGTGCCGCTTCCTGGGCTCCATCTGGTTCCTAGCACACACAACATGTCAAGAGGAAAGAAACAAGGGAATTATATGCCCCGCCGGCCGTTTCTTGCAGAGATTGAGATGCTTGCTACCGGCCAAGAATAACGTACTTGAAGGCAAGGAAGACGAGGCACTGCGCCCTCATCTGCCTCAGCTGCGGCTGCGTGTAGGCCGCCGCGGCACCTGCAGGGCGAGCCGTCGAAGGAAGCATCTCTGCTCAGCCGTTCTCGGTGTTGATGTGTTGAGTTCAGTATCTGCTTGCCTTGCCTTCCTATCCTTCTTGGATCGATCGCTGAATGAAGCAGCACGATTTGCCGGGACGGTGACATGAGAATGCAGCCAAGAGAAAAGGCCAAGAGATAAGCACCGAGTGCCGAGTGCTGACAGAACAGCAGGATATGGTTCATTACATAATCAACCAACAGATAAGAACCAAGTTAGTTGACGGCCTCCAACAAGCCATCAGTCCATATATAGAAAATATTATGAGAGATCGATCGAATCTCTCCCTAATAATAAAGCACGGATTGGGTCTCCGGATTCACCATCACAATGCGATTTCTTCTCATCTCATAATACGCTTTTACAATTTGTATGGACAAAATTTTGTAATATAAACGAGATGGTACTAATAAAGCACGCATTGGTCGGGTTCACCGTCATCGAAATTACCCTTCAAGTGAAAAAAAAAAACACCTTTCGTAAAGATACTAGCGTCGGTCACGTGACCGTCTCTCGATTTTCCTAAAAAAATAGATCAAACGAAAAGAACTATTAGAAGACAGACTGGAACAACACGTCCCTCCTCTCCGCCAGAACGTGTGTGTTCGTCTCTCATCTTCCGCCCCGCAAGAAAAAAAGCCGACCTTCGCTGATCCATCGCCCGCCATCGCACCAAGATACGGCGAGGTAGCGGTCATCCTGGACATGGGCGACCTTCCGGCGGCACACGGATCTGCCGATGAAAAGGCTCAGTGTCATGGAGCGAGGTCCAGGTCCACTTCATCGGCCACGTTCTCGACTTGCGCTTGTCGAGGAGGACGTTACGTTGTGCGAGTTGCTGCGGCGCCGTATGCAGCTCCAGCGCCAAAGATAGATGGTATCCCACAGGATTGGCCTTTGCCGTCGACGCGCTGCTGTCAGAGTGCGCGGCCGTGATGGAGTAGCTCTATAGGGCGGCCGCACGGAGAGCTGCAGAAGCTTGTGAAGCCATACCTGTGATCGATAGCGGCGATTGCAACCTGGAATTCTTCTCATATCTCGCTTTGACTTGCTGGAGGCTAGATGTGGGTCAATGAGTCAATCAGACCAGGATTCAACGAGGAAGAGTGGAAAACCACTATACTTTTTTAGTATTGGATGGCATCGTGCACTATGTATCCATGAAGTATCCAAAGAAACTGGTGGTGATGGAATCCGTGCGTGTGACTGAGCCCCTGCCCGCTCGACGATTTTTTGGGTTCCAGCGTGACTGTAAGGTAAGAGGCTCTTGGTCCTGTTCTGAATTCTAATGATGTTGATCAGCTGGGAGAGAGATCGGCAGAGGGATGGAAGGCATGGCGGCAGAGTTCAAGATGTATATTCGAATGGAATAACACTGAAATATCTTGCTGTTGCTCCCTGTCAGAGTGCATAATCATGATGTAAATTACTCGGCACCGCGTGTTATTTTCCAAGTCGCCATATAGCCTCAACTTGCTGAATTGCCAAACTGGACAGTTGCTTAAACCTTCTGTGGACAAGATACACAAACATACAATTGCATGATAAGTTAACAACTTCTGGTGGATTTTGTTTGCCATCTTTAACAAGAAGAATATAACTATTTGCTAATGTTAATTGCTTATAGTTTATCAAAGGTAAACTGTCCGCTACATGCCAAGTATGTGAATTGATTTCACGTGGACTAACTTAGATGGTTTTATATATTTCTGAAAGCTTCACTCAAATAGTTCTCCTAAGATTTTTGGGTAATTCTTCTCTTCCAATAGTTGTTAGTTTTTTTCGTTATTACAAACAATTGATCAGTCTGAAAAAGAAATCTTGTGATAGTTTTTTTGTTATTCCGAAAGAATGGAAAAAAATTATCCGTTAGTTTAAATTGTTTCCATCCAATACTTCATAAAAGTTCATTTGCGTGTCAGACTGAAAGAATTGGCTGTTGATGCAATCCTGGCATGAGATTATTAAGAGTGAGGACATGCATAGGGTTGCTTTCCACTGGTACATAACTCCGTAATGAAAACAATAGCATCATATGTTTTATCCAACTATTGTTCTCCAAAACTAATCACATTATTTGCTTTCAACAGGTATAATGTCGAGTATCAAAGATGTCATCTTCAAGAAAGTAGCAAAGGGCAGATATATTTACTCGGAATCATACCCCATGTCATGAGCTGATGTCGTGATCCTCAAAAGATACATGTTTTCTTTTCTCATGAGCGACCGCCCATGCCACAATTTGTCGACTCAGCCTGCCATGGTTCATAGGAATTAACTGAATTTATTGTTCAATAAATCGTATTGAAAGGGTTGTCCATCCAAAAATCTTTTAAATATACATTGAGACTTTTCAGAAGCTCTTAAGGGAATTTACTTCAGCATTCTTTTTTCGAATGCATTTTTCGAGGTTTTAAATTCTCCCCATTTTACATGCGCAGATGTTTGATTTTGAATTTTTATGTCATTTTATTTGGTGGCAAATCCTTATATTTATGGATTGCAAAATTTTGGAACAAATCTAAACATGTGGATTTCAGGGATAGAGATGATGCAATCAATGCATCTATAAAGTGAGAGTTACTAGAAGGAGAAGGAATAAAAGATGGACATGATTAAAGAAGATTGGACCGAGGAGGCATCGGTGGTAGGGCCCAGGATGGACGAGGAAGCTATCAGAAGAGGTCAGAAACAACTATCAAGGCGAATACATTAGTCGGGATAGCCAGATATCAGGTGGTTGTTCCTATGAGATTGAGCCAGCAGCTAGGTTTATGTACGGCCTCCACTATTATTTTCCACCTGCTTCCACGGGACATTTTCCTCACCGGTGTCCTGACGTACACGGCCCTCACGCACCTGTAGGGGTCTCGAGCAATGCTTATTGTGCTAGGGGCAATATTATTATTTTTCTCCCGTTGCAACGCACGGGCTCTTTTGCTAGTATTATTATAAAGCATCATAACAGCTGTCAGAATGGTAATCGGAACTTGACCAAGGTTTGGTAGCATGAAGGAGCATAAGTTATAGGAACAATTAATAAGTTGGATATATATGAAAAAACATGCTTCCTGGGCCATGTCAGCACCTGCATTCATCAGACGTAAAAGCTCTGCATGCATCTTTCGTATCCCTTGCAATCTGCTCTGCTTTGCCACCAAAGCACTCAAGTTTCATCAAGTAATGCATGCTTTTGGGACTCTATACTCGGTACCAACTCCTTCAACTCGTCCAAGTTTCGAGCAATTTCATCAGACTTTGCTGCAGCATCAGATCTGTTTCCCTCTAAATGGTGCAGCGATCATTCAATTGAAAGCCAGAATTCAGAAATGAGAAAAAATGCATGAAAGGGATTCATTTGTGATCATTCATGCATTTTCTGCAGCGGGTCAACTTTGTTGGTGCTGATCCACATGCTAGATCAAACAGGATGCCAGGTTTTTAGCCCCTGACTGCTACAACAACACATGGGGATCAACAAGAATCAAGTGGCATTTGAGAGTACTGTGTTCATCCTTGGATGGAAAAATTCTCTAGATCCCTAGAAGGTAACTCAAAGAAATCAGATCAATATGCAGCAGGCAAATAGTATAAACCTTACAAAAAGGATCGAGCCACTCCATGTCTCCATCTAGCTAGCTGCTAGCACATCCTAGGCAAGCCCCTCCCACCCAAGGTCTTGGCCACAGCCGTCCTGGACAACACCTTGATCTGGGCCCTCATCCGCCCCCGGGCCCTTATCCACCACGGCTCAAGCCTCAGCCTCCTTCTCCCCGTCCATCGCGACCCGCCTCCACGGGTTTTGGAGCCTGAGCAGACGCTGCGACAACGGCGCTTGCACGGCGGTCCCTCGACGAGGTCTGTCGGTTCTTGACCAGTAGGTCCTTCCACGCCTCCAGGGTCAGATTCTCGTGGTTCTGGTGCCAGCACAGAGTCGTCCACTCGGTGGTCAGCGTGGCATGGGACTGCATGCACAAGATTACACTGTTACATTGAAGACTAAGTGACTTTGGGATGAGAATGGTTGGATGTTGATTGAAAAGCTTTGTAATGTGATTGACATTTGTGAAAATGCAGGCAACTTACGAATGGATAACCAAAGATCAAATTCAGCAATTAAGTACTCACAAAATTCAACAAAGTTCTGCAAACAACACTTTTGTTAATGATACTTGTAAAGTTAAGCCTGGTCATGCAGCAACCAGGGCAACTGTGTCGTGCTCTATAGTATGTGTGTTGCCCTGCTTCAAAGGAAGGGCATGGAAGAGAAGGAAGCACAGACATAAAGGAGAGGAAGGTGATTAAAGAATTAAAATAGCATTGGCGTATAGAGAGCACCAACAGCGATCTGCCAGAGGCTCCTATGTTGTAGGTTCAATTGCACCAGTAGACTAAACAAAGGCTTATTGTAAAATTATCGGAGTTCAGTACCAAAGTGCACTTCAAACAGGGAGAAAAGTAAAAGGTTGTGTCTACATGCAGCCAAACAAAGTTGGACTTTCGACAGGCATGGCAGAAGAAAGTAATGCTGTAAATCAGTATAGGTGAATCTGTTTTCCTGGGTGGAAATTTAGTAACTTACTATAGGAGATAGAAGTCATGCAAGGAGAATAGGAGATAGATATAGGTGTGAACTGAAAACAATTAGGTATTTGGGAAAAACAAAAAAATGGTGCGCAGAAAAAATGCCAAAATTCAGACCATAGCCAGTAATTCTCTGAGATAAGAGCATAAGTTCCGCAGATTGGATGGATTGACTTGACGGTCGCAAGTTGGATGGATTGACTTGATGGCTTTGAAAGGGCTTCACTTATGCAGGACTGGATAACAGGATTGTGGCGGGGATAGAGCAGAAAAGTGCAGTGTGGCCAAGTGAAGGGGTTTTCAGATGTAATGGACCAAAAGAGAACAATGCATATCACAACAAGTGTTAAAAGCATGGCAGAAGATAATGTTCCATATGTACCGTAATAACACAAAGTACTACAC